TTGGAACTAATGATCCAATTAAAGTAATAAATATATCCTAAAAATACTTTTTCATGTAATTATATATTTTAATAATGGTTTAATAATAAAACAATTCTTTTGAATTTCTCTGATTTACTGATATATAAGATCACTGTTACATAATAATTACGTACTCCATACATATTTTAATTTATTTTCAATTCATCAGGCTGCCGACCCAACATAAAAGGAGGTGAAAAATAATAAATTATTAATTTTTTTTTCAAAACCTTTACACGCAAATGTATCTTTAAAAAAAGAATTCAAGATGAAAAGACACATAAAAGTTGAATTCGATCCTATAGGTCTGAAAGATGTACGCGTCGTTTTGGCCTTAGGTAAAATAAATAAATTAATAAATTGATAAATAAATTTTTTTTCATTCTTCAATTACTTATCATTTCCAAATCACTAGACTTTGGAACGACATATTCGGTAATTTATGCTCATCAACATTATAAATAAAAGGAAATTTGTAAATTCATTTTTTTTTTTTTTGTAATTGAAAAATCATATTTCGTTAAAAGGGTTTTTGTTTCGCAAAAGTCAAAGGAGAAAGAGACGAAGAAATAATCTCGTTTCGAAAGATTCCTACATCATTACAAAATGATGGTAGTGATAAAGATGTGGATGAAGTTAATTCTATTTTGGTTGAAATGTCAGGCAAACGGATGGATTTTGATACGATGCCAGTTCCTATTGAACCGTTTAAACTTGATTTTATGAATGGCGATCTTCCAACCAATCAAAAAATAACAGAATATCTTCGTTACTTGAGTATATATCTCTAACTTTCTAACTCTCTTTCTCTTCTTAATGAAAGTGACATCTAACATGACATTATTTTTAAATTCTGAAAATCCACATTATAATGTTATTATAGAAAACGTAAGCTATAAACAATATATATTAGATTGTTTAACAAAAATAATTATGATACTTAATATGATGAGTAACAAGTTATATTACATAGGAAATTAGATATGCAATGAGAATTCGTTGGCCTAAACTTGATTTTTTCGATCAAGTATTACTTGTAGTAACTGTACCAGCAGGTAAATTATTATGTTCAAATATATTTATTCATTGACGTTTATTAAATCATAATAATCAATTACAGAAATTTCGGAAGAAGCCAAAGCGATTATGAGACTTTGTCTAATGGACGCCAATTTTATTGATAGACCTGGTACTCAAAAACTGCAATTCATCAGTGAACGTAAGAATGGTTCATTTTCATTTTAATGGTATGTAATCACGTGAATACAAAAGTAATTTTCGTTATTTTTTTTTTTTTTTTTAGCTGAAGCTGCCGCAATTCATTGTATGAAACTATTTCGAGAGCAATTCACGAATAAAAGTACGTAAGTTTATTATTGTAATTTTAATGAT